AAGACGAACGCTTGAGGCGCTAGCCTCTTCCTTCGTCGTCCGCTAAGCCGAGTCGGCTTCTGTTCGCGATCCTCTCTGAAAAAAAAAAACAAACGTGAATCGTTGCTTAGGAATCCTTGTTGGTCGATTCTCTACTGTCCGTGGAGACGCTTTAAGTTCAGTGATAAAAAGGTTTTCCGTTCGGTTCAGACATTGAGGAGAGATTGATTTGAATATATAATTCTTTTGGAAAACACGAGCTTGGACGCTTTGGAACCTTTTAAGGTTAACTATGAGATGGGACATATCTCTTGGTTTGGAGGACAATTCCCTTGAGTTCGCCTGATGAGGAAAGAAAAAGAGCCGTTTGTATTCTTAATTAAAAGGATTCGACAAGGTAACAAGTCTCTCAAGACTGGCCTAGCCAGGATTCTATTAAGACTGGCCTAGCCAGAATTCTTTCAAGACTGGCCTAGCCAGGATTCTATTAAGACTGGCCTAGCCAGGATTCTTTCAAGACTGGCCTAGCCAGGATTCTATTAAGATTGGCCTAGCCAGGATACTAAAGTCATTCACATCTATTTAACGTATTGAATCTATTCGCTGCTACGATACCTTTTGTCTGGTTTAACGTACTAATTTTATATGTTTATAAAATACTAACGTCACTTATGGTTGTTGATCTCACCAGACTTATGTTTGACTTGACGTCTTGATTTTATATGTTTAATACTCATGGTTGACTTGACGTCTTGATTTATATGTGTTTAATACTCATGTTTTGATTTGACGTCTTGATTTATATGTGTTTAATACTTATGTTTGACTTGACGTCTTGATTTATATGTGTTTAATACTTATGTTTGACTTGACGTCTTGATTTATATATGTTAATTCTTAGTTTGATTTGACGTCTTGATTTATATATGTTTAATTCTCAAGTTTGATTTGACGTCTTGATTTATATATGTTTAATACTGTTGTTTGATTTGACGCCTTGCTTTTTTATGTGTTTAATACTTATGTTTGGTTTGACGTCTTGATTTAAATTAGTTTATTACTTATGTCTGATTTGACGTCTTGATATATATATGTTTAATATTTATGTTTGATTTGATGTCATGTTTTATATATGTCTAATCCTTATATTTTATTTGACGTCATGAAATTATCATATCTTTAAGACATTTATGTTTGACTGAATTAAATGAAATTCTATATACCGTTCAGATATTCTGTTTTCTACATTTAACGGTGACTTATTAATTGGATATAATATCTATTATATTCCTTAAGCGTTAATATATATATATATATTATATATATGTGAAGATTTGATCATAATGAGTAAAGTTGATAGTATGTTTCTCTCACAATAAATTTCTGTTATTATATTTTATAAAAGTCCACCAACTCCCTAAGTATATCCGGAACATTTGGTCCTTCGAGCCGGATACTTAGGTGAGCCAGATATTTATGTAAGCCGGATTTTATATGAGAACTGGATAATTTGGTTGAATTGGAAATACCATCAAAGGATTAATACCACCGATAATCTATCTTCAAGCATCATGAGGATTTCTCACGTGGAAGCTCGCATCGAGCAGCAGATATCTTTGAGTGCCCTGATCTTTCAAGCAATTGAAAGCTTCAATAAAATTCCAACGACTGACATCACTTCAAGGCTGATTAAAGCTCGTGTTACAGCTTTAAATGAGAATTGGGAAAAATTCTCTATTGTTCATGAAGCAGTTATTGTAGCTGTCAATCAGCTCAGTACAGAAGACAACGAGTTGATTCGAAATCACACTTATTTTGAAGAGGATTGCTATGCTCGAACGTATGAGCAATATCTGGACTCTCTGGACAAGATGAACGCTCATCACGACTCGGATTTTACTATTCCAAGGACATCTTCAACTCAATCTCTCTCTCAACCTGTATCTAACCAACTGGCTGTTTCTCATCACACAAGACTCCCTCGAATCGACCTGCCGAAATTCAGTGGAAATGCTTCCGAATGGATGTCCTTCAAAGATCTATTTTCTTCCATCATTATTGGAAATATAAGCCTAAGTCCGGTCGAAAAGTTGCAATATTTAAAAGCCAGTCTGACTGGCACTGCAGCTTATCTCCTCAAGAACACGGCTCTTACTGCGGATAATTTCCAAAAGGCTTGGACCGATCTGATCTCGTTTTATGAAAACAAACGACTACTTGTAAATTCAGCAATTCAATCGTTGCTCTCCCTCAAGAAGATCGCGAAGGAATCCTCCAGTGAGCTCGAGCGTCTTTACACCAACATCATGCAAATTTATCGCTCACTAGAGACGCTACAACGCCCAGTTGAACACTGGGATGATTTTCTAGTGTTCCTAACCGTTCAAAGGCTGGATGCCGAATCCGTTAAAGTCTGGGAGCATCATCTCGGTTCCACAAAAGAACCTCCGACTTGGAAACATCTGTGTGAGTTTCTTGTTACTCGCCTTCTCTCTTTGCAGGCCTTGAAAATTCGCAAAACTTGCCAATAAAAAAGAAAATCCCATCGCAAGCAGTTAAGGCCTATCATCAGATTCAAAAGAAAATTAATGGCTCACAATTCTCCTCATGTATCGTGTGCTCTGCCAAACATTTCTTGAGCGTTTACCACCCATTGGTTAAACCATCCACCGAAACTTCAGGCAAGACCACTCCTCGCAAGTATTGCATGCCGCTGTACATGCTAGTCAGGCGTCTATGTGCACTCTTCTCGCCACCGCTCAAATGTTAATTGCCAACGAAAATGGACGTATCATGAAGATCAAAGCCCTTATAGATCAGGGATCGGAGATCAACATCATTTCGGAAAAAATTGTCCAAGCTCTCAAGCTTCCTCGCTCCAAATCAAGTATTTCCCTGATAGGTGTCGGGGAACATTCTACTAACAAGACTCGTGGCATCACTTTTTTCAAGATTATTTCTCTCCATGATTCATCAGAAGAATTCCACATATCAGCGCATATTCTCCCTAGCTTAACGAGTTCGATCCCGTCAAGTAAAGTCTCCGGAGAATCCTGGTCACATCTGGATGGATTGCCTTTAGCCGATTTTCAATATGGAATTCCCAGTTCGATTGATCTAATCATCGGTTCCAATTGTTACCCTCAGATCATTAAGGACGGTTTAATCAAAGGTCCGCCGAATACGCCTATTGCACAATTAACCTCGTTTGGTTGGATCCTCTCCGGCCCCGCTTCATCGGAATCGACGAATCGTTCTATGCGAAGTTACCATATTTCAATGGATTCCCGCTTATATGACCTTCTCCATCGTTTTTGGCAACTTGAAGAAATTGGTGCACGCCAAGAATCCTTCATCTCCCCGGAAGATCAACAATGTGAGCAACACTTTAAAGATACCCACTCTCGGAACGATCAAGGACGGTATGTGGTGCGTCTGCCCTTCAAGAAGCCTCCTCAACGTTTAGGAAACTCTTATAATCGAGCTTCAAGAATGATGGATTCTCTGCGAAATCGGTTTCAAGTGAACGCAAAATATGCGGAAGCCTATTTCAAATTTATGAGGGAATATGAAGACCTCCAGCATATGAAATTAATAACCGATGTAAATGAAGAACTTTTACCTCCCAATTTTTATCTTCCTCATCATGGAGTGTGGAGGGAGAGTAGTACAACTACGAAACTACGAGTCGTGTTCAATGGATCAAGTCGTACAACATCCGGAATTTCTCTAAATGAGATATTGCATACAGGCCCAAAGCTTCAAGTGGATTTATTCAACGTTCTTATTTGGTTTCGGCAATTCCAATACGTCTTTTCTGCTGATATAGAAAAGATGTATAGGCAAATCCAAGTACACCCCGACGATTGGAGATTTCAACGCATCCGATGGTCGAATTCAGACAAGGATGTCAACTCTTTTGAGCTCACCACTGTTACTTATGGATTGGCTTGCGCGCCTTATTTAGCGCTTCGTACCATCACTCAGCTTATTGAAGATGAGGGAACCAATTTTCCATCAGCAGTACCTTGCCTAAAACACGGACGATATATCGACGACATTTTCGGAGGAGCAGAATCAATTGGTGAGGTCCATGAAATCATCAATCAACTTAACCAGTTGTGCAAGGCGGGCGGCTTCCCGCTACAAAAGTGGTCTAGTAATCACGCTCATGTACTCCATCATCTACCACCAGAACGGTTGAGAAATCCGGATCCAATACCTTTTGATTTGGACTCCTGTGTAGCAGTACTTGGTCTACAGTGGAAGCCTACTGCCGACTACTTTCAATTTAGTCTAGATCGACCTTCTACGGCCACTATCACCAAACGAACGATATTATCCACGATTGCTAAGCTCTTCGATCCGCTTGGACTACTCTCACCTGTAATCATCAAAGCCAAAATACTTATTCAAGAATTGTGGATCAACAAACTCGATTGGGATGCGTTGTTACCAAGCACTTTGGCAAATCAGTGGATAACTTTCGTTGAGGAATTAGAAGACCTCAAATTCATCAATATTCCTCGTTGGCTTGGCATCAAATCGGATAATCAAGTTCAATTACACGGATTTTGCGATGCATCTAATCAAGCTTTCGCAGCAGTAATCTACCTCCGAACCGTGAACCTTGAAGACCAGATTAACGTTTGCCTAATTGCCACTAAAACGAAGGTAGCGCCTTTGAAGCGTCTTACCATTCCCAGATTAGAACTATCAGGAGCAGTACTTCTCACCAAACTAACCACGCACGTCCGTGATGTTCTCAACTTGAAGGACGTTCCTATTTACTTGTGGACGGACTCATCCATCACTCTAACCTGGATTCAGAACCATCCATCCCGATGGAAAGATTTTATTCAAAATCGTGTAGTTCAAATACAAGAAACACTACCTCAAGCTAAGTGGAAATTCGTTCCCGGCAAGGAGAACCCAGCTGATTTCGCCACCAGAGGTTTGTCGCCATCAAAACTCGCGTCCCAAACCATCTGGTGGAAAGGACCATGTTGGCTTTCACAATCGATTGATTGTTGGCCAGATTGCTTCCCTTCAACTGCTACCTCGGATAATCTTGAAGAAAGACCCACCAAAGTTTATTCACTCATAACCATTGAACCGCAACCCCCATGGGATTTGTTAACAAGATATTCCAATCTCAATAAGCTCTTACGCATTACGGCTGTGTGTCAGAGAGCAGTTGAACGATTTAAACGGATCAAAATTAGTCCAAGAGAACTCCTCAGCACGACTGAATTAGAGTCCGCTAAACTCTATTGGATCAACAGCATTCAACGGCAACACTTCGCTCATGAAATCAAGCTTTTATCACGAGGAGAGTTCCTTCCTAAGTCGAACCCACTCACCAAATTGACTTCATACATTGACGCATCCGGGCTCTTAAGAACGGGTGGTCGGCTTCAGAATTCAACGTTACCTCCAGAAAGGAAACATCTTCTAATCCTCCCAAAGCAATCGCCATTAACGGAGCTCATTATCCAAGATGCTCATCTGAGAACTTGCCACGGAGGTACACAAGTAACGTTAACCCTCCTGCGAGATTCTTACTGGATCATTGGAGGTCGGTTGCCGATAAAAAATTTTATCCTGCGTTGCGTCATTTGCACAAGATACAGACAAAAGAGAGCGCAACAGCTCATGGGACAGCTTCCGCCTGAACGAGTAACACCGACTTCACGCCCATTCATCAACACCGGAATTGACTACGCTGGCCCCCTTCTCATCAAGACCTGGAGAGGAAAAAATGCGCGGCAGTACAAAGCTTACATTGCCGTATTCGTTTGTTTGCCACATCAGCAACACACCTCGAACTTGTTTCAGATTATTCCGCTGACGCCTTTATAGCAGCATATAAAAGGTTTACTGCTCGACGAGGAATCTGCGTTAACTTGTTCAGTGATTGCGGTACTAATTTGATAGGAGCTGACACGGAGCTAAAGAAATTACTCTCTGAAGCATCTCAAGAACATAAACAATTGGCCTCCCTACCCAAGACGGAACACAATGGAATTTCAACCCGACTAGTGCTCCTCACTTTGGCGGCAAGTGGGAAGCAGCCGTGAAATCGGAATATCTATTATATCTATTAATTCCTTAAGCGTTAATATATATATATATATATATATATGTGAAGATTTGATCATAATGAGTAAAGTTGATAGTATGTTTCTCTCACAATAAATTTCTGTTATTATATTTTATAAAAGTCCACCAACTCCCAAGTATATCCGAACAGTCGTTGTAAAATGCACACGGATATATCCTCATACATAGATGCATATTGTATGTATGCATCCCTGATGCATATACGGGATACTCGCGAATATCAGTCGCACTGAAAGAAATCACGGGTAATCCACACCGAAATTCACCGAAAAAGGAAAGAGTAGAACGAGAGAAATGGATAGAGATAGCAAAGAAAACGAGTCAGTATGTGCAGCCAGCGCAAACCCAAAGGCGACGGGAATTTTCCCGGACTGACCGCGTTTTCCGACGTCCAAGCTCGCATTCGCGAAGCTCTTTATTCGCGGTTATTTCAAAGATATCCCGCGCACACGCTCCATCATCCCCCGTCTTCCATCTCCCTTCCATATACGCGAATGATATCGCACCGTATATTTCTCTTGCGAGCGACCATTTCGACGCATTTGTGATTGATGCCCTTCTCTTCGCGAGGATCATATTAATCAACGGCGCCGCAGCAGGATCGCTCGCAAGCCCCGACGTTGCTCGGCTCCACGATAAATCGGATTCGCGACCGACAACTCACGTATCGCGGAGAGAGAGAGAGAGAGAGAGAGAAAGAGGAGTCCACGAAACGTATTTCTGCTATACCCTTAGTCGCATTCGCATGCAACTCTATGGAGCACCGCGCTTATATATGTTATAGCGAGAGACCATGGCTGGCCGTTCCGAGATAACGTAATGCTTCCACACGTAGTCGAGAATTTTCTCTCCTCCGGATTAAAATGGTCGCTACATGACTATACATAAACTACAGTCTGCAATAGCGCTAATATCGGGAGCTCTTGAGGAAGAAAAGATTTTTTTTTAATTTTGCACCTCGTAATAGTAAAAAAATACGTATCAAAAGTCTGCATATTGATAACTCTTTTAAATTTAAATCTATGGGACGCAACATCTGCGAATGTAACGACTAAAAGAAAACACTTTTAATTGAATGCCAAAATCGATAGATATGATATTTAATATATGTTGATACCGTTATGTTCTTTAAGCATCATATTGTTTGAGATTATTTACTGTTTGAGAACAATCTTTGTGTATAATATTACGTTGTAATTTCTACTCTCTGATTTTATATAATAACCCGTTATGAAAATCTTGTATGGCTTGTGTACATACTCACACAACATACCCATGCATTCTGACACATACGATATATTATGTACGGAATCTGTGTATATGTATGTATATAAATAATTTTCTTGATTAAAGAGTAAAGTAAGTACCTATATGTATATTGCATATACTTTACAGTCTCGTGTAGACACGAGATCTCAATCTCATTATTGTGGAAAAATAAGATTATCCGATGTAATATCATTGAGCACTATATAGTAACAGTCTGATTTTTCAATCCACTAAAATCTCGAGAAATAACCATGCGTATAAAAAAGAAGCACTTTGATTATAAATAACGAAACAAGAAAATTTAATTATTCTTCTTGAAGTATGTAAAACACACATCAAAGCGGTATGAAATATATTTCTAAAATTCAAGCAAGACTAAAAATTTATTTTTATGAAAAATTTACCTCTTAATTAATTATTTTATCTATATTTTAATTATATGAGAGAACAAGTAATGCGTCTTTCATCAGAAAATATAAATTTTCATGAAACTACATCGTATAAAACGTACGCTGATTAACATAGCATTAAATATTTGCGCGTCAATCTTCATTAACGGACGTTTTAATTAATGAATAAAATTTTATATGATCTTTATTTTACATTAAAAATAAATCTCGTAAAGAAGAGTGAATAAATATGCTTGTTGTAAACAAATTAGTTAACGATATGTGAGAAATCAAATCCTGAAGGAATATAATCGATCTAAACAACGAGATTACCCCACTAATTGGTGCGCACATTCTGGGCATCCGGAATGGTGCGACACGATATTCAGGGAAGGATGCGCGCGATCTGTCGAACATGCTTCAACTTGATGATCCTCAGTACAGGTCATTCAGTTAAGTCACCTATTCATCAGACCGTCTATATCACACTTCAAGATTATCTTCAGTGTTACAAGCTACTTGCTAGTATACTCGTGTAATAATATCAATATATGATATCGGATTGTGTACGGGACCGTATAATTTGTCAACCAAATGTAGGGCACAAGAGACAATATCGATACAAGCATTTTATTAATTTCGAAAAAAATTCTTGTATATCCAGAAGTTATAGGAAATTAATTTTCTCTGCACTATATTGCATATGAACATGTGTATGAAAAAATTTGCTCGATATATAAATATATAAAAGCTGTAATAATGTAAGTAACTTTTATGCAATTACATTAATAATTCTTTTGAAATAAAAATTTTATAATAATCTCTTTTCCAAATTGATTAATTTTAATACTGCTCACTTTGATAGCTTAGTGTCATAATATAAGTTAATTAAAATTTTTTTTTCACAGTTAACGGTTTAATGTTTTACAGCTTTTATTCATATTTTTCGAGATTCACACATCGTGCCTTTTATTATATTTATTAACCTCTAACTCTGACGTATTATTTTATCGCGTGCTTCTGTACAGAAAGTATAATAGAAATAAATCATACATTAAGACAATTTAATTGTCTCTAGGAAACGTAATCCCACACGGAATAGCGCTGATGGATAAAAGTATCGCTGATTGAGGAAAACTTTCGCCAAGAAGCAGTCTACCTATCCACAATGCTTAGCTCTTTCTTCTTCCTCCTCCTCTCTCTCTCTCTCTCTCTCTCTCTCTCTATATATATATATATATATATATATATATATATATACATTGCTCGCAATGCGCTGTGCCTGTATCGCTTTCCGAAGTCTTTTATCCTATCGCCGTCGTAAGAAACTTCGCCTGGCGCTTTACGAGCGCCGTTGCGGGATAACACGCCCGATTCCCCATTTGGAAAGTGGAACTTCGAACTAATTCCCTTCGATTCTCGCTCCACATCGCTCCCATACCGAGAACTCCGAGGATGTTGCTATCGTAGCTAGACGCCTTGTAACATACGCAGAGTTCACGCGTGCCTGTGCGAAAGATGTTGCACGATGAGGCTTCGTTGTCACGTATCGCGCTTCCGCAGTGAAAACGTTCTCAAAGCCAACTATTACGAAATTACAATCTGCTACTACAGTAAAACTCGATCGTGGAACATCGAGAGTCCTTTGGAAACAATTACACGTATTCAGCAAAGTAAAAGATTGGATTCACGAAAAGAACAAAGAAAAATACGAATATAAATTCAATATGTATTTTGTACGATATATTAGTAAATGTAATTATATGTAATTTACAGTAGAGAGAAGGAAAAAAGGGAGAAAAAAGAGAAAGGCAGACTAAATTTATTACTATATATATCTGCATATTTCGTTTAATTACGATTTCTACTATTTATTTGACGAACAAAATAACCAATGCGCGCACAATCTTTATTTCAGAAAGTAGAAAATGCACGTAATCATGATCAATTCTAATCTTGCTGAAACACCTGCCTCCGTTCGATCGATGTCTTCAACTTCCTTTTCACGAAGATACAAGAACAGAGTTTATCGCTTAAACTGACTCGCAACTATTTCTACATAGTTGTACATGGTTTGCCTTGCTTATCGATAATACATCAGGGGCTCCCAAAGCTTTTAATCTCGTGTCTCATTTTGTTTCAGAAATTTACATGTTTTCTCACAATATTGAACAAAAGATCAACATAGAATTAGCAATCAATTAAGAGTTTATAGTATCAAATTTCAAAATTGATCTTCAAAACCAAAACTTTGCTTCTACAAGTTACGTATCTCCTCAGGCCACATCAGTTGAGAACCAACGATGTAGACAAACATCGCGTAAATTCATTGATCCTATCTAGATTAGCACGAACTTACATCGCAAGATCAGAAGAAACTTGGTGCATCTTCGTGTTAAATTTTTTTCGTTGCATGTTCTCGTTGCTTGATAAATTTTGTGCACGTATATTATTAGTTTGATAAAACAATTTTAAAATACCGCGATACCCGTAAATTTCATACGACAATCCCATCCATGATAGCATTAATTTTATTGTGACTGCATAGTTTATACAATAGTAATAAAAACTATCCAAGATGAATATGCGATGCAATTATACATAGTTATACGAAATTACTCGTTACATGCAAATATATACAACAATTTCTGCATTATGATAATATAATAGAGATTCATTAATACCTATAATAATGTCTCATTTGTAACATATAAGCTTTGCAATATATTATGCAATGTGTACAATATAAGTATAGCATACATTTATTATATATGTATACGTGCTTATACATTTGACACATAAAAGAGAAAAAGCGTATTTTGTGACAAAAAAGCGTATGAATATCAAATGAAATGGAAGGATTAAAAATGCAGAAATTATTAGATGAAGAGCTCTTGGCGGCCTTTCTATATTCATCTTGCAAGCACGTGTTTCGCTATACTTATACAAGTTTCACCCTCCACCCGGTACTATATCATTTGCTGTCGAACAGTAGCAGCGTTGGGAATACTTGTATCTTCAGTATGAACCGATTCAATGTCGCGCCCGAGGCGAATTGAAACCAATTATAATTAGCATTGA